GGAAACTTCAGGAACAACCCTAAACCCTAACAAAAAAAACGAAAATTCCCTAGACCCTTTTTGCATCCGGTCTGCGGCGACTCTGCCCCTAAACCCTAAACCCCTAAACCCTAAAAACCCCCTAAACCCTGAAGCCGAAGCTGATGATGGCTCAAGCCAGGCTCTTTGCGTCAAAGCCGCGCGACTAAGTTCCAAGCTTGCAGCTTTGATCCGACATTACCGGTAGTTGTCTTCTATCCCGATAGGGTCCTTCAAAATGTATGTATGTATGTATGTATGTATGTATGTATGTATAGATAGATAGATAGATAGATAGATAGATACATAGATACATAGATATAGATACATAGATGGATATAGATAGACATAGATATAGATATAGATATAGATATAGATATAGAGATAGAGATAGAGATAGAGATAGATATAGACATAGAGATAGATATAGAGATAGACATATACATATATACATATATATATATATACACATACATATACATACATATATACATACAGACACATACATACAGACATATACATATACATGTACATATACACATACACATTCACATACACATACACATAGTCACAGGAGGCTTTGGTCTAGCCAACATGTCCAAGATGGGCGTGGGGCGAAGACCGAGACCGCAAGCTGTTCGCCCCCAGGAAGGGCCAAAGCTAGCGAAAGTGTGGCAGCTACCATCTGCAGAAGACATTGCCTTTTCTCCCCGACCCTTGGCGATTCAGGTGGATCTTCCGCAGCCGGATCATGTCTATATTCAGGAGGCTGATGCACTGCGCTACAACTATCCTGAAGTCACTTGGATCCGCGCGGGAAAGCCTGACAAGGTCTGCTTAGGGTCTCGCAGCAGGCAAAGTGACTGGGAACGTTTTCGATCCACTTGCCCCGCAATCTTGGATGCTGCCGAACAGCTTATCGCCTCCTTTCCGGGTCAGTCGGTGGAGGTGACCTTCGGCGACGTGCTGGACTATCAAGAGGGACATCTGTTGGGTTGGCATCAGGATAACATGGACCTACAAAGGCAGTTCCCATTTTCTCCAAAATCCGAAAGCCTTGAAGCCCAAAAGAAAACCCCTAAACCCCTAAATACTTAACTCACAAGAACCCTAAACCCTAAACAGCCCCTAAACCCCAAACCCTAAACCCTACACCCCAGAGCCTCCAAAGGCATTTATTCACGGTGGTCCTGACCCTGTCATCCTCTGGGGATGGCCGATGTGAGTGGCGCGAGATCGCTTCAGATGGGGGTCGCCTAGAAGATGCTGGGTTCTTGTTAAGGGTCTCGGCTGGGTTTAGGGTTTAGGGTTTGGGGTTCTTGTTAAGGGTCTGGGGTTTCGGGTTCAGGGTCTGGGTTTAGGGTTGTTTAGGGTTTGGGGGTCTGGGGTTTAGGGTGGCCCTAGGGGCTTTTTTTTGGGGGTTTAGGGCTTAGGGGTTTAGGGTTTAGGGGTTTAGGTTTTAGGGGTTCAGGGGTTTAGGGGTTTAGGGTGTAGGGTTGTTTAGGGCTTAGGGTTGCTTAGGGTTTAGGGTTCTGTTAATTGAGTTAAGGATTTATAGTTTTGGTTTAGGGGCTTTCAAGTTGCCACAATAATTCTTGTTCAGGGTCCGGGGTTTAGGGTTGTTTAGGGTTTAGGGTTAAGGGTTTAGGCTTTTAGGGTTTAGGGTGTTGGGGTTAAGGACTGTAGTTTAGGGTGCCATAAAAAGGAGGCTCTGCCATGTACCATAGATCCCAAATACTCAAACATGACACTCCTTAGCAAGAACCCAGGATGTCGTGCTTTCCTCCATGCCCTGCGTTGGCAACCTGGCCATCCATGGGTTGACCCTCGGACGCTTGAAAGAGAACGAGCCTCTTTAGGGTTTAGGGTTCAGGGTTTAGGGGTTTAGGGGTTTAGGGGTTTAGGGTTTAGGGTTTAGGGGTTTAGGGTTTAGGGTTTTGGGGTTCAGGGTTTAGGGTTTGGGGTTTAGGGTCGGGATCAAGGGCCCTGCATTTAGGTTGAGCCTGACACCCTGCTCAGAAGACTCGAAGCCCCAAGCCGAAAACCCTCAAGCGCTAAACCTTGACGACTCTGGAAGAATCAAAGGCCCAAAGCCCCTCAAAACCCCCTCCACCCCCTAAAGCTCTAAACCCTAAACCCTAAGCCCCAAGATTCCTGGCATGGAGAATAACTGAGGAGCTGCAACAACAAGATGGCGCACCGCGTCTTCTGGGACGATGGGAGAAGACTCCTGCTCGACAGATATAGGGGCCTAAACTACCATTCCTTGGGGGTTCCTGGTTATAACTTGGTATAGCGGTTTAGGGTTTAGGGTGTTTAGGGTGTTTAGGGTGGTTAGGGTTCATAAACTTCGTATAACTAATCCAAAGCCCCAGTTTAAATCATTAAAGCCCCTAGTTATATTTTCTAACCTTTGTGCGCCAATCACTACACCCCAAGGCCCTAAACCCTAAACCCCAAACCCTAAACCCTAAACCTTAACCCTAACCAAGCCCTGAATCCGCCGGTGCGTGTATTCCTGCGTAGAAGGACCTAGTAGCCGCATTTCCCCACAACCTTCGTGACTTCTCATGCTCCCAAACCCTAAGCCCGAAACCCTAACACCCCAAACCCTAAACCCTTTCACAAAAAAACCCTAAACCCTAGACCCTAAACCCTACACCCGAAACCCTAAACCCCAGCACCCTAACACCCAAAACGTAAAGCCCAAAGTCCTGTAGCACGGTTGGTGATATAAATCCTGCACAACCTTAGGGACCCTAAACTATGGGAATTATGGTATATTCCCCATTATGGGTAATGCAGGATGTATATCATCAATCGTATTGTAGTAGTCCTTGCAGAAGCTCCTGGTTTTAGATGCACTGCGGAAGTCGTGTAAAACACAGAGCCCTCACAACCCAAAGCCCTGTGAGGAACCCTTCACAAGGAGCCTTGAGAAGAAGCCACCAGGAAGCTGAAAGGAACCCTTAAAGGAGGCTAAAAAGGAGCCCTAAAGGAAGCCCCTAACCCCTGAATCCTAAACCCTAAGCCCTAAGCCTTAAGCCCCAAGCCCTAAACCCGAAGCCTTACACCCTACGCCCTAAACCCTACGCCCTTATCCCTAAACCCTAAACCCTAATTCCTCAACCCTAAACCCTACACCCTAAGCCCTTAACCCAAAACCCTAAACCCTAAGCCCCTAAGCCTAAACCCTGCACCCTAAGCCCTAAGCCCCCCCGACGAAGGAGTCGCCCTGGTCCTCTTCTGCCGGTCGGCAGAGTTAGAGCTTCTGCTCAGGGAGATGCTTGGGACCATGAGGATTTTTTGGATTTAGGGTTTAGGCTTTAGTTTTAGTTTTTTTTTTTTTGTAGGGTTTTGGGGTTAGGGTTTAGGGTTTAGGGTCTTTGGGTTGTTTTTTGTAGAGTTGTTGGTGGTTTTGGGGGTTTAGGGCTTAGGGTTTTCAGGGCTGTTGGTGGTTTCTAGGGTTCAGGCATTGGGGTGCACAAGGGTCTCAGCCCAAGGAACGGTGCGAAGAGCTGCTTGTCCATGCGGCACTGGTGGACGAAAGACTTCGAATCCACGAAGTGAGGCATTTTAGGCCGTTTAGGGTTTAGGGTTTAGGGGCAAAGTGCAGCAGCACAAAGCTTCAAGTACTAGGCGACATGGTCTCCTTGCAGTTAGTGGATTCCGTTTTGTCGATCTCCTGCGAATTCCGCAGATGAATCGATGCCAGCGATGTCAGTCCGTGCGAAGCAAAGCGATGCAAGGGACCGTTTCAGTTGGAGGTCATACAGAAGTCTTCCTCAATATAAGTTTTCCATAATAGACTCTGAACCCTACACCCTAACCCTGAACCTTAATAGAAGTTTTCCATAAGAGACCCCAGGACCCTATTGTAATGGTCAAGGCACATACCTTTGCCGGGTGTGTTTTCTGCGGGCTGGTCGTCCCGCGGCCCTCCCCTGTGTGCCATTGTATCATCAGTTGTATAGGGTTTAGGGTTTAGGGGTGAGTGCATATTGCTGTAAGCTAAGGCTGTGTTAAGTCACAGATAAAACAGGGCTTCGAACTGCAGATTCTTGGCCGTACGGTCGAGCGCTTGCAATCGTTGAGTAGAGACAGCCAAGCCGTGATCCCTAAACCCCAAATCCCCAAGGCTCAGAGGACGCCGCCTGACTGATTAATAATATTGTACTTTCGGGGGGTTCCTCATTATAAGTGTAGTCTAATCGGCCACCAAAACCCTATTCTAATCGTTAAGGCCCCTATATCATACACAGCCCTTATAGAGCCCTTAACGTAACCTTATAGAACTCTTCAAAGGAACTAACAGGAACCCTATTCTTGCCAATAAGGCCCCGATGTTAAAGCCTCTGGCATCTCTGGCTAGAGTGCAAGTGGCGCCAACTCTAAATATGTTTGAAGCCCGCTTGCCTTCCTACTCCACCGGATGGGGTTCAGGGGTTTGGGTTTAGGGTTTGGGATGGGGGTTGATGAAGTTGAGGGTTTAGAGTTTAGAGATTCGGAGACTTCGTTGTTTGGAAAGGGTTTTGAGTCGAGGGTTACTTTCCACCCCGAAACAGCTTAAACCTCAAACCCAAACCCTCCAGACCATCAAATTAAAGGCCCTAAGCCCTACAAAAACCCTGTGAGTGGAAGAGCCCTATACCGTCAACCCGCTCAAAACCTCTCTCAAGCGGAGAAGCCGCAAACCACACTAGAGACACTCTTTTTCTATTCCTGAACCTTGAAGCCTTGCCTAACCCCTAAACCCTGAACCCTAAACCCAAAACCCTAAACCCTAAACCCGAGTCCCTAAACCCTAAACCCTAAACCCCTGACCCTTACAGTAATTGGGCCCTAAACTACCCTGTATCCCACCGGGGGGCGGCCCTCTTGAAAAGGAGCTTAAGCTGGGCGTGGTGAAAAAGTCCATCATCCGACAGATTTGGCTGCCAGGTCACTGGGAAGGGTGGGGCTTTTGAGGGTTCTTTTGAAGCCCTAAACCCTAAACCCTAGGCCCTAAGCCCTAAGCCCTAAGCCCTAAACCCTAAACCTCTAAACCCTAAGCCCTACGCCCTAAACCCTAAGCCCTAAACCCTAAACCCTAAACCCCTAAACCCTCAAAACCCCTTAAACTCTAGGCTTTAGGGCTCGAAGGATTCCTTTGAGGGTTCCTTTAAAAGGCTTTATGGGTTTTTAAGGGGTTCCTCAGAGGGTTCTTTGTGAGGTTTAGGGTTTATTATTTTTTTTTTTTGGGGGGGTTCCTTCAAAGGCGTCCTTTGAGGGCTCCGTTTTAAGGTTTAGGGGTTTTAAAGGTTCCTTTAACGGAAACTCTCTGAAGAGGCCGCTGGAGAGCATGGGTTCGGGTTCAGAGTCTTAGATTTTGCAGGGTTTTTTTTTCAGAAGTTTCTGGAGTCGCCGTGGGATTTTTGGAGGGCGAAAGGAGGGGTTGTTAGGTTTCTTCCAGTTGTTTCTGAATCGTTTTTTTGTTTGGGGTGCTAGTTTCTAAGGGCTCTCCTAGTTACAACAGGTTGGGCGGGGATATGCTACTTATGCAACAAGGGCGTGCAAGCGGAAATGATCATTAACCCTAAGCCCTAAAACCCTAAACCCTAAACCCTAAAACCCTAAAACCCTAAACTCTCACTATTCAGACCCCTACATGAAGCTGTCGAGATTTCAGGGTTTCCGTCCGGGCTGTCGGGCCTCGGCACTAGGATGTTCGGCTTTAGGATTGTAGGGGGTTTAGGGCGGCTTGAGGATTTTAGATTTTAGGGCGTAGGGCTAGGGCCTTTTGGACCGCGGGTTGAGTGCTCAGACGAACTTGCTGTCGGTTTCCGGGGCGCAAAAAAGCCCTGATTCAGACGATGGGAGCCACGCCCAGGAATTCGGGCCGGGTAGAATGTCGAAAACCCTAAGCCCTAAACCTTAAACCCTACACCCTAAACCTTAAACCCTACACCTTAAACCCTAAACCCTACACCCTAAACCTAAACCCTACACCCTAAACCCTAAACCCTACACCCTAAACCTTAAACCCTACACCCTAAACCCTAGACCCTAAACCCTGGCTTCCGGGTTTCTTTTGGGCTCTTCCATGTGATCGGCTGTTGTGCCCCGCGAAGCCCGCAATGTGCTCCCAAAGCCTGAGACCATGAGATCCCAGGTCCTTGGACCGTTTAGGGTTTAGGGCTTTTGGGCTTCGGGTTTAGGGTTTAGGGCCTAAGTTTAGGGTTTAGGGCTTAGGGCTTAGGGCCTAAGTTTAGGGTTTATTTAG